ATAAAATATGAGCGGGAGACCTTTATAGGCATTTAAAACTGCGAGCTGCAAGCGAGCAGTTTTATAGCCCATAGAGGTAGGACGCGAATATTTTATATTGCTTATCAATAAATTCCAACATAAGGTAAASCATATTTCGAAAAAAACTTTAGGATAAAATATCATTTGTAAGAGAAAATCGAAGTTGTAAAGTTGTATGCAAATCAGGACAAATCTCTTGCTCGTATAAAAATGATTTTCCATTGTGTTTACCTTATGAATTATTAATGAATTTGATAGCAAACTGTACAAAATCAATGTCGATGGATTGTTGAGGTTAATAAAATCTATTTCTTCATTAAAACTTCTTCTTTCCCCCCTTGTTCGAAAATTGACCCTTAAAGGGACGGAGTCAGCTCAGGACCCTAAAAGGTACGCGAGGGTTTTATTTTCGACCCTAAAAGGTCCGTCGAGCATACCTACCAATTTTATAAGAGAGTCCCCCGGGGTAGAAGTTGACACTGTCTGCCGTTTATCACCTGTATTTAATCTTCGGAAATGAAACGATTTWAAATTAATGTTACAAGAATGTCGCAACTTTTAATTGCTTAAAAATTTTGGTCTTTTCATCTGTTTCCAAGTTTTACTACAGTAGTATGTAAAACACCACCCAACACCCGGAAATTATTATTTTTTTAATTAACGTTTGGGGTGGAATGCTAATAAGATTACTGGGAATCGTTAAATGTATGYAAACTATAACAATTTAAAGAAATGTGAGTTATGCTAGTGAAAAAACTGTTGTAACATACATGCATATCGTTCTTGATTGGTTCAAAATCAAACATGGCGATTTTTCGTTTTTTCGAACAACGGTTCTCTGATGCACGGTGGCCTTAAATCTTTCGTCTTCCTTTGGCAGATTATCGTTGTGGCGCGAGCTGGTGGAGGGTATAGAGGTGACATTGCATTTGATGAAGTGACATTTGTACCAGGAACTTGTTATGATCACGAGAACGAAGAGGAGTTACTGCTAAGAAGRATTGCTGGTGAAAACAACTCAACAGCGGAGATAAAAGGTATAGAACGTATTGGACACTAGGTGGTTGACCGAGCGCTTTTTCTGGGTGGGAAAATACATGTATTCCATCACATATTAACTTGAATATATTCTTATGGCTTAATGTAATCAATAGTAAGTCTTTAAACTTAAAAGTTATGTATTTAACTATGGTTATATCATCTAAGCTATMATTTTTATATTTTATTGGAGCTGAAACTAAGAAAAGCAATCCAAAAGGATATAATACTAACCAGTAATCTACTAAATATTTCGCGGTTTAATTGMAACCATTCTACTAACGTACCGCATTAATAACGCGTTTTAAGTTCCACTTTTTTACAAGAAAAATTGGAATTTACGATCCTTTCTAATCGTAGGGAGTTGTGATTTTGACAAAGATTTCTGCGGATGGTCACAAGATATACTCGGCGATAATTTTGACTGGACCACTGGTACTGATGGAACTCCCACATCTGGAACAGGTCCTAGAAACGATCATGGAGGAAAACGAGGTAAATCAGACATTGGAACTAAACGAATGCTAGAACCAGTCAAGGATGACAATACGATAAATATTCCCCCACACACGATTTTCAGATTATGATTTTAAAAATTACTGCCTCCCCCCTCCCCCTCTCATTAGCCCCCTCTCCCCCCTCACCCAAGCAAACACACACACCAAAAATACGCTCCGCCTTCCCTGCCATCACCACATGTCCTCCAGCCTGACATCCCTTAAACAAGTTCCTCGATTATGTTATATGTTGAATACTAATAAAGATACTATCATGATAGGGGGTAAATTTCTGTATATTGAAGCCTCGTCTCCACGTAAAGCTATGGACAAAGCACGACTGATAAGTCCACAATTGTGTGGTCAAGTTTGTATTAGGTTTTATTACCACATGTTTGGTTCTACTATGGGCATGCTAAGCGTCCAAAGGAACGACGGCATCAATAAAAACTACGATCGTCTTTGGTACAAACGAGGTGATCAGGGGAATGTATGGCACAGGGCTATAGTGGAGGTGAACTCAGAYCAGGATTGTTATCAGGTACGAAAATACTTTGTACTGGGCTCTTTCTTCTTCTTGTAAGATATAAAAACGTATTGAAAAATCACATTTACACCTTTTGAATAATTATAATATACATACCTACCCTCAGAAGAAAAACAAATAAACAAGGAATTAACAAAGCTCTCTCTCCCTCCCTCCCTCCCTCCCTCCCTTTCTCTCTCTCTCTCCCTCTCTCTCTCTCGTAACTGATAAAGTAGACTGAAATAGCACAAAATGATGTGCTCAAGCTATGAGTTGTTTTTTTCAGGTGATAGTTGAAGCATCAGTTGGCCAGTCCTACTACAGTGATATGGCTATTGATGACATCTATGTTCAAAAGGGAAGCTGTTGTAACATGAAAAGTGAGCTCAACAATTTGGACAAAAGTGGTAAGGCRCAAAAAAGACGACCACTACTGTAAAGAGAATGSCATTTTTACATTTGTTACTTTGTATATTCTTTCGATTCTCTTTCACTAAACGCTAAATTTTGATATGTCTTTATAGGAAACTGTAATTTTGAAAAAGGTTTTTGYGGTTGGCAAAACTTAAAAACAATTGATGATTTCGATTGGACTCTTGGTAAAGGGCCAACTCCAAGTGAATCAACTGGACCGAAGAGCGGTTTCTTAAAAGGTATATATTCCAAGTTAAGAAAAATATACATATTTTAAGGAGTTGCTAATTTCCAAACGTAACTGACTTAATCATCTAATTAGTAACCACTTATTAKCGGAGCTTCATTAGCAATATAAAAGACAATGAACTTATTGAATTATTGACTTTGGTAGATTTTGTTCAGTTTGATGGACTTATTATAATCTGTAAATGTCAATTGATGAAACTGCAAGCTTCTCGTCAAAAATATACGTACAAGCAGCTAAATTAGAAGCAGCAAACGATCAACGTCTGAACCAGGTCGATCTACTGTTCTCGCCACTGCAAACTGTAGTTGCTSTCTGTAATACCGGAAGAATCTTTAAATATTCCGTTTTTTTATTGTCGTTAAAACTGAAACCAACGGTGAGGCATCCAATGACGGCCTCGCYTTATCGTTCAAAGATCACCTTAAAACAGCACCATACTTATTTCAAGACATTTAAGACTGTGATTTCGTACCATATTTCGTTGCCTTTCATCAGGCGTTTTTATTTTAAGGTGGTTATGCATTTATCGAGGCTTCCGAGCCAAGAATAATATACGACACAGCTATCATGACCAGTGGTGTACTCTTGGGATCTATGTGCATGCGATTTCGCTACCATATGTATGGCGAAGAGGTTGGATCGTTGACTGTATATAGGAATGGCGATGGAGTTATGCAGCAGTTGCTATGGMGACAAGATGGTAAYCAAGGGGACATTTGGCACGAAGCTGAATTTCTTATAGACTGCAACGTGACAGCTTACAAGGTATATTTTGATGATGCATGATTCCATCACATTATAGTATAAAAACAAAATGGGCCTTTTTCTTTTTTTTGATTGGCCTTTTTATTGAGAATAACGTTTAAAAAATCTGTAACAAGAATAATTGTTTTATTGGAACAGAAATATACCCTTTTTTACCTTTTTTCAATCGTCAACATCCCCTTTTTGTATATTCGAAAGAAAAATAATTTAGCGTTTAAAATGATTTTCTTCATTTGTAATTTCTTATTACAATACACTACACGCAAAAAACTATGATCCTCAGGTTGAGATAGAGGCAACTGTTGGAGGTTGGCGAGGGGATATTGCGGTAGATGAGATCGAATTTACTCCTGGAGTATGTCCACCCAAACCAGTTATCATCATCGACTACAATAACACAGTAGTGGTAACGCAGCCACCACCAATAGTTAATGAGTTTGATGGTGAGCATCACCTAAATATTGATAAATGCAAAATGAAGATTTGATAAAAAGTTAAAATAAATGTAGGAAATCGTAGATATGGCAACTAATCACCTTACGATAGACGGATAGAATGAGAAACAAGCTTGCTTGCTTGCTTGCTTGCTTGCTTGCTTGCTTGCTTGCTTGCTTGCTTGCTTGCTTGCTTGCTTGATTACTTCCTTGACTGACTGACTGATTGTTCTTAGGTTTCTGTAATTTTGGTAATAGTTTCTGTTCATGGAAAAACGACTTGGAGGAAGATTTTTTTGATTGGAAAAGGCAGTCGGGAAGCACTCCATCAGAAAGCACGGGACCAAATCAGGATTATTCCGGAGAGGGTAATGTTTGTAGTGATYGCTGTTGTTGATGTTACATTGTTCAAATGATTCACAAACGAGAATGAGAGAAAACACAATAAAACGTATTGCTTGTAAAAATAAACTAATTTTTAAWATTTATCATTTTGCACTTCTTGTTCACGTTAACATCTTCACTGCAATCATTTAATTCCAGGCTATTTCATATATATCGAGTCTTCCAGCCGAAAAGAAGGTCAGTTTGCAAGACTAGTGAGTGGCTCTCTACAAGACACAYATTGCCTCACCTTCCAATATCACATGTATGGTAGTGGGATTGGAGAGCTTAGAGTAGAAACTAAAGATAGCGAAAACGGATATTTATGGAACACAACATGGTCCATTTCGGGTAATCAAGGAGCATTCTGGAAACCAGCCTTAGTAACAGTAGAAGGTTATGACTACGTTGTAAGTATTACATACCGAGAGCTGTTGTGACTTTTAATTCAACAGAAAATTTTTCTCCGCTTTCATTGATGGAGAGTCAGTACTATCAACGCTTAGTGCCCGCCGCTTCAGAAAATTTTGTTGTTTAATAATAAAAAAATAGAGCAGTTAAAATCTCAGGTATTTTAGTGTAATAATTGCCCTTAGAAACTTATAGATGTTCCTTTAAACTTTATAGAAGAAGACTATTTGTTTTTCGGAAGATCCAGTTTTCGCAGGCAAACTTCACTGAAAAAAATCGCGCACTTTAAAGGTTGTAAATTTGATGCAAATATGATGTAAGTGTCCAAAATGATGTAAATGAAAAACCATTAAATACTGTCTGATGAGTGCSTAGCACGRACCTCGGAGTCACAGCAAATCTTGCCTCTTTGATATTATATATGTAAATGATTTACATCAAATTTACATCATTTTGGACGTTTACATCATATTTACATCAAATTCACAATCTTTTAAGGTGTTTCGATCGTAATAAAAGCGCTTCGCGCGTATTTTTAAACTCCAACTACGTCGCAAATTTCGATTCCATTGCACTCAAATTTTCACAGAAGTAACAGTGATTTATCGATAATTCTTGTAGATAAATTAATTTGCCAAAAAGCGAAGCCATTTAGATAAACGATGCAAAATAAAAATACCTTCATTTTTCTTCAAAGTTAATTTTCTCAAAACTCATCGCAGAGATTGTAATAAAATTTTCAGAATCATTTCTTAATAACATAATTGATATAGTTTCAATAAAATCTTAACCTAAAATTTCGAGTTGTTCGAATGTACATCATTTTGCTCAATCAACTCGAAATTTTAGGTTAAGATTTTATTGAAACTTCGTCAGTATATCAATTATTTTTTATCAAAGTTATCATCACTATCTTGATCTTCATGGACTGTAGATTGGAATCAGCGCAGTTCGTGGTAATTCATTCGAAGGGGACATTGCTATCGACAGCATAAATCTTGTGAAAGGATCATGTGATAGTAACGGAAGCAGTTTTGCTGTTGAAGCTGTTATAAAATTCAATCTTGGTAAGTTAATATTAGTTAGGGATTGCAGGCCAAGAAGCGTGTTATTGATTAAAGCATCTGACACGCTCACATCGTTGTCCTTTTCGTTTGTATTTTCGATTTTAAAAAAATCAAAAAAATACAAAATAAAAATTATGCAAAGGTTATAATTGGATTTTTGTATCGTGTAGCAGAGCTGATTCTTACAATTTTTCAGATTGTTTACAGAGAATTTACTTTAAAACGTTCAAAATTAACTTTACACGAGCAGCGGTAGCTTCAAAATGAAAGTATAGGGACGGAATTAACCTCGGGAYCGCTATGGCCGCAGGGCATGGGGATGCTCCAGGGGAGTCAAAGGGTTTTATTGGAAGTGTTGGGGAGTAGAACCCTATCGGGAAGTACAACGTCATGATCACGTRACCACCCAAGATATCTATAAAACAAAGTGAAACTCAATGATGAATTGAGTGTAATTAATTCCTGAGATTAATTCCATGGCTACACTACTAATACAGCTCATCTGTTAGAATCAAGATGTCTTTGTGAAATTACTTACACATCCGTATTTTATGTGTGTGTGTGTKGKTTTTTTTTCGTTTTTTGCTTTTATTTTTCAGATAACTGTGATTTTAACGGCAATACTAAATGTCAATGGAAGGATGACGATGCCTCAAATTTTAAGTGGACGCTGAGAAAAGGCTCAACCCCGTCTACTAACACGGGACCATCGAAAGACGTCGGAGGCAAAGGTGAGTCATCGCGGAAGAGAGTTTTTTTCTAAAACGTAGTCGTGAGTTTTGAGTTCTTAGTCATGTGTGCAATTACAGTCTGAAATCGACAAAAAAAGTTAAAGATCGATCTTTYATTGAGCAAGTTGCAGAGGTATATATATTAAAACGAAGAAGCGGACATTTTGCTTACAACATAAGACTCAAACTGATGACAAACTCAAACTA